GTATGTGAAAATGACCTACAATTTGGTGGCCCAGGTACTTGGACTTCAAGAAACTTTATGCCTTCCTCACTTGAATGAAGGCTTGTCTCCTGGCTGCTCAGTAGCCACCCAACATTGATGATAAGTCTTGAACTGAGACACTGTTCTAGGCTGCATTGTTGTGTAGAGGTACCCATCTCTTGCTCCTCTCAACCACCCTACCTCTTCCTAGATTGGGCCTGTTAAACAAGAACTTCTGACCTTTTATAAGTAGTTGGAAGAGTTTAAGAGTAGTTAGTTACTACTCTTCTCTTGCGCCCCCACCACCCATCAGATCCTTTCCCCTTCAGGACTGAGACATTTATCCTCCTAGCTGTTCGCAGCCCACAACTCACAGTTTGTTTTTTTTCTTTTTTTTTTTTTGGAGAGGGGGCAGGATCACCTTCAGAGGAAGAAAGCCACCCTTCCCAATGTCATACCTTCTTCCCAGAGGCAGATAATACACAATAACCGGGTCAGTGCAGGAATATGAAAGCTCAACGTCTTTAACTCAAACCAAAAAAACCAAAACCTGTTGTCATCAAATCGATTCTGACTCATAACGACCCTATAGGATAGAGCAGAACTGCCCCACAGGGTTTCCAAGAAGTGGCTGATGGATTTGAACTGCCAACTTTTAACTCAAGGCAGGACAATTTTGAAGGGCCACCTTAGCTCCAGAGCTCTCTACAGAATCTATGAAAGCTTCTGTTGCAACTTTATCACAGTGCCACTTCTCCTTCTGCCCAATTCTTCTCTTATCCAAGATACATGCTGAGAGTACTCTGCAATAAACTCTCTACAAGCAAATTTGAGTCTTAGAGTCTGTTTCCTGGGGGACTCAACCTACAACACCCCTCTCTAACTCCTTCTAAAGGGAGAGATGTGATATTTGATGTGATGCCTGAGTTTAAGAGAAAGAAATGAGCACATAAGGCTCAGCCCCTTCAACTCTTGGCCAACCACAAGGCGGTGGGTGGGTGGTGGTGGTGGTGGTGGTGGTGGTGAGCTCCTCCTGGTCCTGCCAACTCTTGGGTAAGCACACCAGGGCTATGCCTCAGATTATGCTTTCCAGAGGTAAACCTGAGTAACCCTTGGTCTCTTTTCACAGTAATGGAGGGTCTAAGCTCTGGGACAAGAAAGATGTCTATGGGAATCTTTTCTGAAGTCTAGATTTTCCTTTGGATTGGACCTTCCAGAATCTGAATTTAGTCAAAAGTACTAGGAAGTCCAATTATGGCAGTAGACTTAATCTGTGGTCTCCAATTATGCCTGATCAATGATAATGCCAATAATTTCATCTTTATTTGTTTGATTCCTTTGTCTTAGTTTTCTCAGTTGGATCAGAACTCATAGATAGGGATTAATAGTAATCACAGTCTTAAACCCATACTGACACAAAGTAGCACTATGTGCATCCAAAAGGGAAAAACTCATTCCCCATTATTGACAATTGGAGCAGCTTAATTTTTCTATAAATATATGGAGATGCTACTCCAGCAGGCCTTTAGAGAGGAACAGTTCAAATCTAAGCTTGGACACTTAGCGCAACTTAGACAAACAGGTTTCAAATAAGGAAACTAAGCCTTAGTATCCTCATTTGTAAATTAATGTAACCAAGCCCATCTTAGATTTGGTTTAAAGATTAAAAGCAACAACAAAGTGTCTCATATAATGCTTTATATGTTGTTGTTAGGAGGTAGTGAGTCGGCCCCAGATTCACGGCAACCCCATGTATGATGGAAAGAAACAGTGCCCAGTTCTGCACCACCCCCATGACTGGTTATGGATCGGACCATTGTGATCCACAGGGTTTTCACTGGCTGATTTTCAGAAGAAGGTCACTAGGCTTTTCCTCCTAGTCTTAGTCTGGAAGCTCTGCATAAACTTGTTCAGCATCACAGCAACACCCAAGTTTCCACTGACAGACAGTGGCTGTGCATGAGGTACGTTGACTGGGAACTAAACTCAGGTTTCCTCCCACATGGAAGACTGAGAATTGTACCGTTGAGCCACCACTGCCCCTCAATGCCTTATATACCCATTGCTGTTCAGTTGATTCTGACTCATAGCGACACTATAGGTCAGAGTAGAACTGCCCCACAGGGTTTCCAAGGAGAGACTGGTAGATTCAAACTGTCGAATTTTTTCGATAGCAGCTGAATGTTTAACTACTGCACCACCAGAGCTCCAATGCCTTATATAGTAGGTGCTTAGTAAATCTTAATTCACAGTTCAATAAGTATCAAGAACTATTATATGCTATATGCAGATAGGTCCTCTTTAGGTTTCCCAGAAAGGGGAAAAAAAAAAAAAAAACCTCTCTTGACCACTTCCAAAAGGGATAAGATGATTTTTCAATCCCATGGACTATTTCAAGATGAATTTCTGAATAATGAATCCACGATTCAGGCTCACCCAAAGTTGTAAGTACAAAAGTAGGTAAAAACTGACAGATAATTAGAGCAGAGAACAACTAAAAATAACATCCTTTTCCCATTTTATGTGATAAAATGCACAGTAGGGACAACATCTCCCTTGTCTGCTAAGAGCATTGTTACTCTGGTCACACAAGTACCGTGGAAGTGAGATAAGGAAGAACCTCTCTAGAGTCCGGCTGCCCTTGGTAGCAGCTACAAACTGGGACTCCAATCCAATCTGGCCCCTGGTCTCAGACAACTGAGTTGTTTTCATTCTGCTAATACATGGCAAAGGACGAAGGGAAGCCTGTGAAGGCTAGCCCCACCACTCTCTCCTATAGAGGGGAGAACCAAGATCCCTGATGTTTTGTTTAAAAAAGCAGCTTGGAACTTGGTGAGGCAGAGCAATGACCAACAAAAGAAAGCTCACTGGAGAACAGTTAACCAATATAAGAATATCTCACCCATGTCAAGGTAAATGCAACTTAATGCTGAGCACTTATTACTCGAGGGAGTTCTCTACTGTGAGCCAGCATTCCAATTAAAGATTCTCTGCACTACAGAAAAACTACAGAAAGGAAGAGTTTCTTTAAACGTGTGGAGAGAAAGTTCTAGAATGTCACAAATTGTTCCAGGAAAAGTACCTGGTATTGAAGGTGGATGACTACAGAATATAAACCAGTGGGATGTAATCACTCATTTCTTTTTTTTTTAAGCCTTAAATGCCTGTGATTTTATGAACTCACAGCTATTAATATAAGTAGCCCAGTTCAAAAACCAAACTAAAACATTCAACACCATGACCTTCTGAAGTAGTGAATTCCAGAGGGCTGAAGGCTCTGTGAAGAAATATTTCCCTGAATATCAACTTTATAATAGTCTTTTAAGTCTATTATTATTTAAATCAGAGAAACAGAGAGAAGTTGAGAGAGAGGCTGTGAGAGAGAAAGAAGGAAGCGGGGAGGAGAGGAAGTGGGAAGAGAAGACAAGCCCATTCTGTAAAAATGTGTTTTAAATTCTTTTTCAAGGGTGGACTGTGGACTATACCATAGAAAGCAGTTTGTTTTATAGATATAAATAAGACCTCATAAAACGGAGTGTAAGAAAAATTACTGAAACAGAACTGTTTCTGAATTCTCTTAGGCATTGCACACACTATAGTATAGAGCACAGAAACACGGAGAGACTTAAAGAATGTGTTCAATTCTTTGTACACATAAGGAACCAGAGATTCCAGCTGAAAGGAAAGATTATTACCCTAAGAGATGGGAGAAAAGTTCTGAGTCCAGTCTCAGGCTGTACTTCATGAGCTAGTCATACCAATTTCTGCAGGAATGAAGAAATTATTGCAAAAATGGTTAGATTTTATAAATATATTGACAAAGCATAACTTTACATATGACAGAAAGATATTTCAAAGTATTTAAAAAGTTCCCATTGTTTTTTTAAATTTTTCTTTAGCTTTTTCATCTTTTTATGGTGAAGAAGAAACCGACCAGCTTACCTGTATCAAACCCCACACTTGGCACTATGTCGACTGTTCCATGAAAGGCCCCGGCCCACGCTGAGGTAGCAGTAGTGACTGTAGTCGGATCTGTCTTTGTGATGTCACACTGGGGAGCAGGAATTCTGGCCGCACGCACTGATGGCATTAACAGAGGCCCATATGGCGGGTCCAGGGTGGAGCCAGCAGAAGGGTGGTGGTGGTGGTGGTGGCGGTGGTGCATGTGGGTGTGGGGGTGGTGGTGCCGCATGTACACATCATGCATATGGCTGTAGGATGGGCTCACCTGAGATGCCAAAGGGTAGTGCCAGGATTCGGACACAGGAGGGTGAGGGGCTGGGCTAGTCTGATGCAGGCTGTGTCCCGGCCAGGGGCTGGGGTCTGCTGCAGTAAAGGTGCCAGGGGGCGCAGTGACCTGGAAGTCAGGATGAACTCCCCCCAAACAGGGTGCAGGTGGGGGCTGGTAAGAGCTGGCCCAAAAAGAAGTTGGGAAACTACTCCTCTGGCTGGAGAGACCTGAGCTGTCTAAGAAGACAGGGGAAAAAAAAAAAAAAATACATAAGATTCAATTCTGGGATAGACTTGCCTTTACTTGTCCAATAGTACTTCACAAAAGGCTAATTTGTATGCGATTTTTTTCTCTCCACGCATGCGGTCAATTAATACCAGGTAAGCCTCTAAGCTTTCAGGCCCCAAGTCAACATGCAGGATTCAAAGTGGTGACTAAGTCTCCCTCTGTCTTTGCTTGGCTGTCAAGTCTATGCTGATGTGTCAAAGTCTTGGATTCAAAAGCTTCATTTCCTCCTGGGACTCTTGCTGCCATCAGATCTGAGCAGAAGTCATCACTATGTACTTCAAATGTGAAGAAACCTTAGGCCACAGGCGTTGGTTAACATAGGTTGGAAATTACAATTTTTGACTGTAGTAAAAACATATATAACATTTTCTATCAACTTTTTTTAAAATGCAAATATAATTTTAATTCAAACTGAACACTTCAATGCAGAACGTACCAAACGGAAGTGTGACCACACTGAATTATACTCACCAACACTCATTTTCCATCAAGAAGTCTGTATTATTCCAAGTTCTTTTTTTTATTTTATTTTTCCTGTAGCAATCTAGGGAGTCTCTGGACTGAGAATAATAATAGCTAACTTTAATAAGCACTAATCAGATGCCCCATACAAGGCCAGGGGCTTGTCATGGATGATTTCATTGAATCCTCACTCTAACTCTATGAAACAGTTACTGGTATTATTCCCATTTTATAGATGAGGAAATTGAGGCAGAGAAGAAGTCCAAGGTTTTACAGCTGGCAAGTAGGAGACCTGGTAGCCTGCTTCCATGGCCAGCACTCTTCACAGCTATGCCACAAGAGGGCACACTTGTAACTATAACCTGAACACCTAGAATTTGATGAAGATTCTGTGGGATCAGAACTGGAGGAAATTCAAGCTAAGTGGTAATGGAATTGAGGAAGTGATGGTAGGAGGATAATATAAAAGAGTAGCACTTAGAGATAAATAAGGACGGAAGAGGAAGCGCTCTCCTCAACTCTGCATCAGCTCAATCTCTCCACTCATTATCATAACATTTATAGGTGGCCTAATAGTACCCAAAATAGAAGGTTCAGGGATGTCCAGACCGACGTGATTTTTAGACACAATCTGGTGAGGAACAGATAATAGATGTGTACAGTGTGACACAGTATGTGCTTTCACAAGGGCAAGAACAGAGACGAGGCACCAAACCAAACTAAAAAAGTGATAGCTAACCGGAAGCTGAGGGTAAGATGGGGCGATGCCTGCGATGAGGCAGGGAAGCGTATTTTAAGCAAAGAGAACAGAATGTGGGGAAAAAAAAAAAAAAAAAGACCATAAATGACAAAATGCAAAAACAAAACAAAACACGCAAGATTTGAAGGACAAAACTGTTCAGTGGGCAGAAGGTAGTAAAAAAGGAGACTGTAGAAGCTAGCAGGACCTAGATGAGTGTGGCCTTGCTGGTGCTGAATGTGGGCTCTATCCCAAGAGGGAACCCAGTGCGTTTTGGAGAGTTTTAACCTAGTGAGTGGCATAGTCAGATCGGTGTTTAGAACGATCAATAGCTCCAGCTACAGTTTGTTGCCGACAGTGTGGTATAACTGAACAAGCACTGGGCTGCGAGTCTAGAGAGTTTGGCTCTGGCACTAGTTCTTCCCTTATTTCATTTTATGACTCAAAATGGATCTACTGATCTTTCTGAATCTCAGTTTCTTCAACTAATAAATGAGGCAGTTGAACTAATTTAATTCCAATTATAGTCCGGCACCATACTTATATTACTCTGTGAAATGATCTATGGATTATTTCCATTTATAGATAGCAATAAGGTTACTAAAGACATTAGTCATCAATGCACCATGAAATAGTATTTTCATACCAGGTTCCACATAAAAGAGCCTTGCTAGATCTTTCCATTGAATGAAGGATATTCTAAGAAGTACTCTGAAATAAAAGTATTCAAAAAGTCTGACATAGCCATGTTCTCACATTGTAACTTTCCAGGACATAGTTGTCTTGCCTCAGGGAAAGCTTATAGAACTTGAGTCAACCACCACACATGTCATTTGACCAGCACAACTAGGCTATCACCGTGGTGTGCAAACATTTCCTTTCTCTAGCGTCCCTGAAGGCTGTGGCACTAACACTGCAAACTCTTCCATCCTCTCCCTCTTCAGCCCTACACCAGAGTCATCATCATTCACCCTATTCAGTCTGTGGACAAACAGCTACTCAGTCTCACATTCAAGTCTCTCCCTCACAGTATCACCATGACCTCAAATCCCCTGGGGAAACCTAGGAACTAACGTTCTTCAAGAGGCAAAGGATGAACATGCACACTGGTCTTCAAGTCCTCAAACAGTCTCTGCAAACTTCTGATTGAGTGATTTTGTTTTATCACAATCACAGTCTATCAGAAAATGATACTTAAAATAAAACTTACTGGCATTATGTTTTGTTTAACAATTGTCTTCCTCTGACACATGGAAACTGCCTGCTAAGGACAAGAAGGACAATTATATAAGCTATGAGAAGAAAATTCAGTTTACCTGAAATGATGGCCATTTGTAGAATATTTCTGTCACACGACATTGAAAGCTGTCAATGTTTAAAGTTTAGACCCCATACAAGAAGTTTATCAAGGATCCTCGTATTGCATATTGCAGCTTTGCACCACCGAACTGCCACTCTGCTCTCACTGCCCCAATCTTGAGACCAAACCTCTCAGTCTGCTCATAACTCCAACTCCTGGTGGGGCTGGAATTCCGTTATGAAAACTGTTGAACCCCAACCTACAAGTATCTGCCAGAGATGAAGTCGCCTTTATTAAAATCCCCCATTAAAAATATCAAGCATATATGTCATTTCTCTGGATGCGTCCTTTTATTTCTTTTCATTTATACGTACATGGAACCAATCTTATTTTATAGATGCATAAGGATTGTGGATATGCATGCAGAAATGTGAATAATGGACAAATTCTTTAGCAAAAATATTATTGTCCTATTTATGAGGTGTTGTTTTGTGATTAGTGAACACATTAACATTGAAAGTGGAAATCTATTTTTAAAAATGCACTCCATAAAAATGAAACAAAGCTTTAAAATGCTCCAGGGAAAAACAAAATTAGAAGCAATGTAGTATTTTCCCAGTCAGTGTATCTCCTGAGATTAATATACAGTTTACAGAAATCTATGCAACTTTTTGGAAAACGTTCTTGCATTTTAAAAGTAAGTGAAGCAATATTGAATAGAAAATATGTTTATGAACAAGTCTATAGTTCAAAACCACTATTTGTATCTTGTTTGTTAAAATAAAATCTTGATACAAAGAAACAGATGATATGCTTTGTTTCATTCCTGGGAATCAATGTACTTATTTCATATGTATGTAAATTTTTTTCATTACATGACTCTTTGCTTAAGAGTACTTAATCACAGCCACATTTTTTGGATGAAAAAGCATATGAAAAACTGTGCATGAAATATTTCCATGCAGTATTACTTTTCAGGTTAGTGGAGGCAATTTAGAACTGTATATTAATATTCTACAATGACCTCGGGCTCAATGGTACTCAGTTTTTGGAAGATGTTAACAGTGACAGGCTAACACCTACAAAAATCTAAGTATACTTTGGTTTCATTTGCATTTGATATTAAAAATATCACACACACGGCACACACACACACACACACCTTCATTTCTAAACAATAAAGAAAATTGACAACATAGATACATTGTCAAATGCAACCCACTCAAAGCATGCTTAGTAATCTCACTGTCTGACAATTGATTTAAACCAGAAGAATTTATTTTAGAGACATGGAAGAGTTTGACATGGAACATTAAGTGGTTCATTTAATGTCTTCATAGCTGGGATATTTTTTCCATTAACTCTGTCTCTTTGAAAAAATCTAAGGGCAAACAATTTAATCAAGACAATTCAAAATTTAATTTTAAAATCAAGCATTTTGCTAGTTAATCCATTTTGAAAAAAATGGAAAGTACATAAAAATGAAAAAAATGGGACAATAAAATCTTGTAGAACCTCATGATTCATCTTAAAATTCCTCAGATGAGACATTCTTAGAATAAACATTGATTAATAACACTAATTGTGAAAGATAACATATACCTTTTAATAACTTCAGTAAAAAAGTTCTCCTCAGTGCTTACTTAACCTAAAGATTCTTGCTGTAATTTAATTCCTATCCTCTTGTTCTGATTTCTGTGAAAATCAGTTACTGGGTCAGAAGTGAAATCATTTGTGTTCCAATGTTTTCTGTCATTCAGGAACTATGCATGACCATTATGTCCAAAGATTGTCCTCTAGCTACTTTGTACTGTAGTTGCCCCAAATGGACCTCATGACTCTAAAATGAGATTTTGAGAGAGGATGTCAGAAGCCCATCCTCTTTGGAGGCTGTAGGATGAGGTAAGTCAGGCCTCATTTTCCTCCCATGCGTTTGTTCTAAACTTTCTAGTAGTGATAACCTCAAGTGCCTTCTGGAGATCCAGCTCAACCTTCTTCTTCCCAATATCAGCCAGTTCATGAAACAGACCTTCCTTCTTTCCCTTTCCCCTTTTGCTGTTTAAAGTTAGTACTCATTTTGAGAGGTCTTTCCTACGAGAATGAATTGCCCCAAGCAGACACTATGTAACTTAATTAAGCAACATGTACTTGCTTTGCAATTACAATAAAAAAACAATAATATCAGTAAATTTACTATAGGGCACTTTTATAAGTCAGTAATATATTTTGTTATGGCCTGACTTCCTTACTTCTTTTCTCTGCTCACACAATCACACACACACAGGTACACACACACAGTTTCTATAATAATATTCAGACACTAAAATCAATTTCTGTGTGTATGTATATGTATATATACATATATATATATGTATATTTATTTATTTGAAGCCAATGTTTCTGTTTCAATGGGAATAAGGGGACAGTCAGATTCATCAAGTTTTCTT